CCAGCTCAGGCCTCATGGTCTGTCTCTTTGAGCTCCAGACCCTATTGTATGTTGATCTGTAATGCTTCAAATCCATTTTTAGCTGAGAAAGTTTTTCCTCCTCTCTAGCAATCCTTTTCACATGCGTTGCCACTCGTCCACGATACACTGTATAGGACTCACCAGCCTTGGGGCCCTCTCCCAGGTCCTCAGTAGGTGTAAGCATGAGGCCGGTACTTAGGGCCCTCGGGGGGACCCCCGCCTCCAGGGTCCTGCCTGGGAACACTCATCTCTCCTGGGCTGGGAGAGGAATCCAGTCCCTGGCTCCAAAACAAGGCCTCTGGAAGTCAGAGAGCAAGCCCACACACAACTCTCCACACCAAGCTCCTCCCAGGAAGTGGGCGTAAAGGAAGTTGGATGTTCCCAAAGTGCTGTATCAAAGCACATTAATAGAAAGTTATGTGGAAGGGAAAAGTGTGGAAGAAAAAGGTGCACAAGCAGCAGGAATGACCGCAGCCTGGAGAGAATTGTCAGGAAAAGGCCATTCAAAAGTGTTGGGGACACACAGACGGATCCTGGACATGGGCTTCAAATGTTGTATTCCTCTTGTCAAACAACAAACAACGTCAGAAGCGTCCTACCTGGGCTAAAGAAAAACAGAGCTGGTCTGTTGCTCAGTGGTCCAAAGTCTTCTTTTCTGATGAGAGCAACTTTTGCATCTCATTTGGAAACCAAGGACCCAGAGTATGGAGGAAGAAATGGAGAGGCACACGCTGCAGGATGCTTGAAGTCCAGTGTGAAGTTTCCACAGTCTGTGTTGATTTGGGGAGCCATGTCATCTGCTGGTGTTGGTCCACTGTGCTTCATTAAGTCCAGGGTTAACGCAGCCATCTACCAGGAGATTTTGGAGCACTTCATGCTTCCTTCCATAGACGAGCTTTATGGGGATGCTGACTTCATTTTCCAGCAGGACTTGGCACCTGCCCACACTGCCAAAAGCACCAAAACCTGGTTCAATGACCATGGGATTACTGTGCTTGATTGGCCAGCAAACTCGCCTGACCTGAACCCAATAGAGAATCTATGGGGCATTGCCAAGAGAAAGATGAGAGACATGAGACCGAACAATGCAGAAGAGCCGAAGGCCGCTATTGAAGCATCCTGGTCTTCCATAACACCTCAGCAGTGCCACAGGCTGATAGCTTCCATGCCACGCCGCATTGAGGCAGTAATTGCTGCAAAAGGGGCCCAAACCAAGTACATATGCATGCTTCTACTTTTCAGAGGTCCGATATTGTTCTATGTACAATCCTTGTTTTATTGATTGCATGTAATATTCTCATTTTCTGAGATTGTGGATTTGGGGTTTTCATGAGCTCTAAGCCATAATCATCACAATTATGACAAATCACGGCTTGAACTATCTTGCTTTGCATGTAATGAGTCTATCTTTTAAGTTGCATTACTGAAATAAATGAACTTTTGCACGATATTCAAATTTTTCAAGTTTCACCTGTATACACAATTTTATTTTTTATCCTTTCTGTAGAATGTGTTGTGACATATATACCAATCCCTTGGAAGGGTCTTTTTTAAGACATCTGCGATGAAATGTTATGTGCCAGATATTTTAAACAACTTTTTTTCTTTGTAAATATCAGTGCTGCAGCACTTTCTGTACATAACAGGGGTGCACCTCTTCACAGTCAGGATTATGGCACCCCAGACATGTTATTTAAAGGAATTGGTCATTTCTAATCTTTCACTTAAATATCATTTAAATAAATGATCATTTAAATAATCACTGCTCTTGGCTGAATAGAATTTTAAAAAAAATTAAGAATTGCCTTGGCATTGTTACATGTTCCCCAGAGCAGTGCCTACCCCCCATGCTATTTTTTGTCATCTCCTTTCCTATTAGCCTAGAAAATGGTCATTTTTAATTTCACAGATTTACAGATTTGGCTCCTATTGATTTCAAAGTGGTTTGAGTTTACCGAACCCTGAACCAGGGCAGTTCAGCTCATCCCTAATGTTGAACTCTGTAAGCTGTGCTGCACAATATATGCGGTAGCAGGTGGGAAGTTTGTTCTAGTAGTTAATTGCAAAACATCATTAAAAGCTGGGGCTACTTACTTCAGGCACAGATCAGCTAGAGCAGAATAACAGCAAGCAATAATACCAACCGCCAATTTTGAAGCTTTTTTTTCTTCCCATTAATGATTATTTCATATTCTGCACTGTTTATCAACACCCCGTATAGTTTAATCGAAATACCGATAAATACTATTTTGTAAGTGTGAAAAATGCTGTTAAAAGTTTAGGCACACTTACTAAGCAAATTGTGGGGAGGGTTTACAAAGTGCACTTCAAGTTTTCTATGATGTTTTTTTCACCCACTGACATCCAATGTTAAATCATATTTTTCAACCACAGACAATTGAAGTTGGAACATTTTTTCTTTTAATTAGCCACTGAAACAGGTGTGTGTTCCCCCCCTGAATGGCAATGTTAAACTATATTGTTCTCCCACTGTCCACACTGACATTAAGGCATTTTATTCCACAGAGCAACAAAGTAAGGGGCAGTTCATTGCATGCTCTGACTTCTGCACTTTGTTTGCTAGGCTGTACATTGCACAGTCCTGACCACTACAATTATATACTATATTGTATGTTACATATTCTGGCTTGTATGCTGCATTCACTGGTCCCTGCACTATGTACACTGTATATTACATATAGGGTTATGTTTGTAGTTACTATATTTATACTCTGAATGGTGTAAGGTTATCAATGGTGTACCCCAAGGTTCAGTGTTGGGACCCTTACTTTTTAACATATTCATAAGTGATATAGGGTCTGGGATTAAAAGTACTATTTCATTTTTTGCAGATGACACCAATCTAGGCAGTGGAATGACATGCTTACAAGATGTCTCCAATTTACAATTCAACCTCAATGCATTGTTTAATTGGGCAACTATGTGGCAAATGAGGTTTAATGTTGATAAATGTAAAGTTATGCACTTGGGGGCTAAAAACATGCATGCAACATACATGTTAGAAGGAGAACAGCTGGGGGAATCAATGGTGGAGAAGGATCTGGGTGTTCTGGTAGAGCATAGACCTAATAATAGCACACAATGCCAAGCTTTGGTTTCCAAAGCCAGCAAAATCCTTTCTTTTATTACGAGAGGTATGGAATTCAGAGAGAAATACCTAATTTTTCTCCTGTACAACTCATTAGTAAGACCTCATCTGGAATATGCAGTTCAGTTTTGGGCACCAATTTACAAAAAGGATATCGGGGGACCTGGAGAAAGCACAGAGAATAGCAACAAACTGATAAGAGGCATGGAGGAGCTCAGCTATGAGGAAAGATTAGAGGAACTGAATTTATTCTGTCTTGAAAAGAGGAGATTAAGGGGGGGACATGATCACCATGTATAAATACATAAGTGATCCACATAGTGAACTTCGTGTTGAGTTATTCACTTTAAGGTCATCACAGAGTACAAGGGGTCTCTCTTAATGTTTGGAGGAAAAGAGACTCAACCTCCAGATATGGAAAGGCTTCTTCACAGTAAGAGCTGTGAAAATGTGAAATAGTTTCCCTCAAGAACTAGTTCTGGCCAGCTCAGTAGATTGTTTAAAAAAAAGCCTGGATTCTTTCCTAGATACATATAATTTAACTGGGTACTAATCCAATTTATAGGTAAATTTGATCCAGGGAATATCTGACTACCTCTTGGGGTGTCAGGAAGGAATTTTTTTCCCCTGCAGGAGCAAATGTTTTAATGCTTAATTGGTTTTTTTTGCCTTCCTCTGGAACAACTGTGGGTATAGGATTGTGTATAGGACTTTATAGAATCCCCCCCCCTTCTTTTGGTTGAACTGGATGGTCTTTTTTCAACTAGACTATGTAACTTTGTAACTATATCATGGAAATACCATCTTGTCAGGATGTTTGAATGCTTAATTGAGTCAGCTATATCAGTTGTTTATTCTATTGATGTATAACAGTGCCTCCAATACAAAAATAAATTATTAAAAATAATTATGTTAACTATTTAATTATTCCTGAAATTCTTTGCGCCATGCATAAATTATTTAAGCACAATAAAACTGGGTGTATGCATGGAATGAGAAACTAGATTTATTTTACAATAAGTCACTTAACAAACACCATTAATAGTTGACGTAAGAGGGTGACACAGATACTGAAATTATCCTCCCAATTAATTACCTAAGGTACCCCATTAAAGCATGGGTATATAGTATATTAAATTAGATCAAGTAATTAATGTCCCCTCGTAGACAGCATAACCACTTATGACTACAGCTTGCAGATATTAATCTGCATTTGACATATTACCAGCGTTATCTTCCTGCAGAAAGAATAAATGCTTAAACCCATCTGTGGGGTGTGACAATAAGGCAAAAGAAAAACAGATGAATAATCTAACTCTATATTTATTTATTACAGGTACCGTATTTTCCGGCGTATAAGACGACTGGGCGTATAAGACGACCCCCTACTTTTCCTGTTAAAATATAGGGTTTGAGCTATACTTGCCGTATAAGACTACCCCTCTTCCAACGCACACCAAATAAAAATGAAAAAAACATCAGATTTGATTTCAATATGGTATGCTATTTCAGTGGTGCCCCATCATTAGTGTCAGTGTGTGAGGAATAGTGCCCCATCATTAGTCAGTGGGAGGAATAGTGCCCCATCATTGGTGTCAGTGGGAAGAATCGTGCCCCATCATTGGTGTCAGTGGGAGGAATAGTGTCCAATCATTAGTGTCAGTGGGAGGAATAGTGTCCCATCATTGGTGTCAGTGGGAGGAATAGTGCTCCATCATTGGTGTCAGTGGGAGGAATAGCGGCCCATCATTGGTATCAGTGGGAGGAATAGCACCCCATCATTGGTATCAGTGGGAGGAATAGCACCCCATCATTGGTGTCAGTGGTGGGAATAGCACCCCATCATTGGTGTCAGTGGGAGGAATAGCGCCCCATCATTGGTATCAGTGGCAGGAATTGCGCCCCATCATTGGTGTCAGTGGGAGGAATAGCGCCCCATCATTGGTATCAGTGGCAGGAATTGCGCCCCATCATTGGTGTCAGTGGGAGGAATTGCGCCCCATCATTGGTATCAGTGGGGAGAATAGTGCCCATCATTGGTGTCAGTGGGGAGAATAGTGCCCCATCATTGGTGTCAGTGGGGAGGAGAAGTAGTGCCCTATCGTTGGTATCAGTGGGGAGAATAGTGCCCCGTCGGTGGTGTCAGTGGGAGGAATAGTGCCCCATCATTGGTATCAGTGGGAGGAATAGTGCCCCATCATTGGTATCAGTGGGGAGAATAGTGCCCCATCATTGGTGTCAGTGGGGAGGAGGAATAGTGCCCCATCATTGGTATCAGTGGGGAGGAGGAACAGTGCCTCATCGTTGGTGTCAGTGGGGGAGGAACAGTGCCTCATAGTTGGTGTCAGTGGGGGAGGAACAGTGCCTCATCGTTGGTGTCAGTGGGGGAGGAACAGTGCCTCATCGTTGGTGTCAGTGGGGGAGGAATAGTGCCCCATCGTTGGTGTCAGTGGGGGAGGAACAGTGCCTCATCGTTGGTGTCAGTGTGGAGGAGGAATAGTGCCCCATCGTTAGTGTCAGTGGGGGAGAGGAGCGGCTGCTCCTTCTTCCAGTTCGGCCGGTCGATTTTCGCGGGGCCGCTCGGCTCCGCCTCCTCGCCGGTGATTGGTCGCCTGTGTGCCTTTCCAGTGCTGGTGCCCAATCACCGGTGAGGAGGCGGAGCCGAGAGGCCACGTGACCATCGAGCGGCCGAACTGAAAGACGGAGCAGCCGCGCTTCCTGGACCGGATCGCCGTGGGACCAGGACCGGAGCCAGGTAAGGTACAGCACCCCCTCTGCCCACCCCTGTACTTAGTGTCCATTGGAGGAGGAGGGGGGCGGCGGCGCCGCCCCTCGAAAAAGTGCCGCCCTGGCTCGCACCGGCGTATAAGACGACCCCCGACTTTTCAGAAGATTTTCAGGGGTTGAAAAGTCGTCTTATATGCCGGAAAATACGGTACTTATATAGTGCTGTCAATTTATGCAGCGCTTTACATATATATATATATTGTACATTCACATCAGTCTCTAACCCTCAAGAGGTGTACAATCTAAGGTACCTAACTCACAGTCATACACATACTAGGGCCAATTTAGATAGGAGCCAACTCACCTACCAGCCTGTCTTTGGAGTGAAGGAGGAAACCGGAGTACCCATGCAAACACAGGGAGAACATGCAAACTCCTGGCAAGTGGTGCCGTGGTTGGGATTTGAACCAACAACCCTAGTGCTGCCAGGCGGAAGTGTTAACCATTGAGCCACTGTGCTGCCCTAACACTATAGTTTATGCTGTCGTGAGTGGTATATCAAATTGCAATTGGCCTATTAATTAAGCAAACAAAAAGCATCTAAAGAATAATATACATTAGTTACCCTATTAATTAAGCAAACAAAAAGCATCTAAAGAATAATATACATTAGTTACCCTCAGAAGCAAATGGAGTGGATAGCTGGGGATGAATTCCCTCAAGATGGTGTCCAATGGGTGAAGGTAGACTGGGCTTAAAATGGAGTGTGTCTTTTTAGAATGTTTTAATGTATAGTGTTTTAAATAATGCACAATGAGGATTCTTAAATCTTTTTGAGCACCATTTCATTGGTGGTACTGTTCATTGCTTCCTGGAGAGTGTGGAGATCCCTTGTGGTGATTAAGTTCCTGAGAACATCTGGAGAGGTCTGGAGAGTTATTGCAGCCTGGTTAAAGGGCAAGGCACTTGTACATACATGATTGAGCTGAGCAGCTAGTGTAATTGGTGGTGGATTACACTGGGTGTACATGATAATTTATCTTGAACATTATCACTGAGCACCTTTGGAGTATTTCAACCAAATTGTGGACTGTACTTTTGTACATAATATATTTTATTCACGTTTAAATATGCACTTTACATTGTGGTATAGTATAGTTAGTATGATTTTTGATGCATGTCATTTGTTTGCACATTAATTCATATTCCACTCTAAACTGTTAGGTCATATTGCATTGAAGTAGGATTTGCACATTAACACATGGAAGTAGTGTGTTTCTTTTGATTATATTGTGATCTGCACTTTTTTCAAGGAATAATATTGTCACTGCTGTGGGAACGCATGTCAGTGCTGACTACAATAATTTTTTTTTGTGTGTTTTTTTTTCTTTCTTTTTTGTGCTAATTGTGTGCACTGTCACTCGGTAGTACAGAGACAACCATGCTTTTATTTCATCTGTCTTTCAGAATGGCATCTTTTCAAGATGGATGACAAGTGTTCCATGATGTTTGATGATGGCTGCTGAATGTATAATGATGTGATGAGTCCCTGACCGATGAAGTCCCTGAGCTTGCTTATTTATGTATCAGATTTAGAATTTAGAAACTATGTACCCAGCTCTGATTGGAGAGTGAACTATCGATTAACTATTTGTTTATAAAAGCATTAGCCCAACTTGGACAACAGGTGGCACATTGGGACTAGAAATCCCTATATTCGAATTTCTGAGAGAGACTGAATTTATTAGATTCACTTTTTATGGGATAAATGTATAAAGATTAAAATATATCATTTTATTCAGAAGGTATACTGAGGTCTTCCTTCAAAGGATTGGTGATTTTTAACTTTTGGATTTTTGGTACAACAGCATCTGAACATGAAATTTTGGCTACAGTGATGGAATTATTTATAAAATAATCCATATTAAAATATTAATTATGTTACCCAAAATATTTGTGTAAACTTTAAACTATGTCCACTTCACTACTGAGTTCTAAATTATAAAATATACATATTTCTTATGATTATGATTACACATTATATGATATTTTGTCATGATTAAGTCTTTCTTATGTTATTATGTCTTATCCATATAGATACATTGAAACATTGATGCACCCCTTGGTAATCTTTTCATGATTTTGTCTGATAAAATATTAAAAAGTTAAATTGACTTCCATTTACCTTTTCTCTGGATTAACAAACATCATGTTTGTTGATTAAACATCTTTTGTGTATCCTCTTGGCTTGTTAATAGTTTTGTCCACAAGTGGAACAATGGAGTAAACTACAGGTCTTGTTTCCTTCAGCTGAGTCAATTAACATTTGTAGGTTTGTAAACATAAGACTAGTTTCAGATTAATAAGATATCCTTCTCTTTGGATCCCTGTGTTTTGTGAATAAGAGCACCCCATTGTTTGGGGGTTGGTTATAACTAATGTGGGCACTTTGATTCCCCTGACCCTTAGGACCTCTATTGAGGTGATGGAAGCTTAATGCTATGAACTTAGTATACATAGGGAAGTGGTATGTTAAAGGGCCTCTATTGCAAAAAACAATATACAAAATAAGGCAAGAGGAATCTCCAGCTGAAGTCTGTGCAAAAATTGACACTTACTGGGGGCCAACAAGAAATACCACTGACTGTAACTGGAGATACAGAACATCAATCCTCCTGGAAGTGTTCGTTTCTCCACAGATTTTAGCCAGGGATTCCTCTTGATCAGGGAGGCACTCATCAGTGCAGGCAACAAGAGAAGTACGTATTTACATTTTTCAGTAACTGCTTCCTGACCACCCTATAGCAGAAATACTGCTACAGGGCAGCACTGGTGTGCAAAATCATATATATATGTCATTCACGCTCCCATGGTTTTCGCGGGCTGGGGGGGCGCATGTGTGCCCCCACCGACCCATGGGTGCTGTGATTTGATCCCCAAGGGATCAATCATCCGATTTAGGCCAGTGATGGTCGGCCTAAGTCGGATGATTGATCGCTGTCCTATCAGGGATTCTCCTGTACCTGTGTTTATACTTACACAGGTACAGGAAATGATGACATCTTCTCTCTCTGGGCACATTCCCTCCCAGCGAGAGAAGAAAGAAGACACAATGAGTAAAACAGCACACTTGTACACAGTTAGAACACTTTAGAACACAATTAACACCTTGTTCGCCCAACTCCCCCCCTTAACCCCTTCATTGATCTGTCACCAGTGTCATTAGTACAGAGTACAGATTTTTTGCAGATCACTGTATTGGTGTCGCCGGAGACTTCAGATAGCGTTAGCATTAGTTAGCGTCAGTTAGCATCCCTCCCAAAGAGTGTCAGATTGCCCGTCAGTACACCAGTAATTACATTTAACCCTTTGATTGCCAGGAACACACTCACGTACAAAATAAACCTCCTTTGCTAGTACAGTGTCTGAATCAGATCAATATCTTTGATCAGATCAGCACTATACCAGCATTCATATTAGTATAGTGTCCTCAAAAATGCAGAGTTAGCAGGATCAGCTCCGAACCTGCCAGCCTCTGCGTTTAGCCCCTACGCTTACCCCCCCTCTCCTCAGAAAGTGCAGTGTCAGTAGGTCGCTGTCACTTGATACATTGCACACAAAACCGCAGTTTTTGCAGAATCAGGTCTCTTTTTCCCATGAGTCACACTGGGTACCTATAAATTTAGTGGCCAAAATGTCAATGGAAAGGTACTCAAGTGAAGAGACCTACAGGATTCTGAGCATGTCAGGTGAGAGCGAAAGGGAAGACTCACTGACACAATCAGCCTCAGAATACGAACCTGTAGACAGCAGCAGCACCCTGACAGATAGCTTAGATGATGGAGAAGAGGTCCCTGCTAAAGTCAGGCGTACCCGACCCCGCTCCCAGGTTGCTGAGATGTTACAATCGCATGATGACTCTCATATGCAGCAGAGTGCCAGTACTAGTGCTGCTCTACCTTTTGGTGAACTGGTAAGCACCTGCGGCCTAGTACATCCTGGTCTTTCACATACCAGCACTGCAGTATCACTTGGTGACGTGGCGAGTCCCATAAGTGCAGTACAAGTTGGTGCAATGCTGAGCACAAGTAGTGTCCCGCAGCCTCCAAGAATTTGCACACAGGCCCATAGAGCCCCTAGTATCCTTCTGTATGTGCTTGCAAATCCCGATTGGCAGCCCACAAATTCTGCAGTACTCGTACTTCCCCCATTCACAGCCCAACCTGGAATTCAGGTGGAAACAGCAAATTTAACTACTCCCCTTGATTTCTGGAGCTATTTTTCACAGAAGATCTGTATGCATTGATTGTGGATCAAAGCAATATCACGTACCTGGTGATGGAGGCCAATGGAAAAAGGGCTTCCCTTGCGGCTCAGTTCCAGACTCCCCTGAGAGTGGGACAGTGGAAATCAGGCCCAAAGTGGCACAGGTCGCCTGTAGGAGTGCTGGTTGGTGGTCCACCCAGAAGCACAGCTGTTGTACACAGATAGGTCTGAAGACAGGTGGCGCCTGAGCGAGGTATGCAAGCCCTTCCGGGATTTAGAGATTTACTGGATAGC